CTATAAAATCAATAGTATTTCATTAATAAAACGTTATCCAGTGGTCTAAATGAAATGATTTTGGTACCATTGGATTCGTCTCACAGAAATGAATCGAATGGTATCAAAATCATTCTAATTGGATCACTAGATTATAATATATTTACGGTTTTGTAAAATTATATATATAAACATATGAATTTTTAAAAAAATTTTATATAGTCTAGGGGGTCAAGAGCTACTATGTAGAGGTACATAACGTTATATATGGATGCCCCCTTAAAACTGGGCTAAACATGTTACTCCTAAAATTACAAGTATTGACTTACCCAGCTCTTTGTAATGAGAGTCTTATATGACAAAAGTCCAAATTACCTATGTATGATCTGCTATAGTAAAATTTTTTCTCAATACTAAACCTTCTTCTAACAAAGAAATCTAATATATTACAGAGTGGCATTTATAGCCATCATGATTGCCTCCTCTTTTTTGAACCCTAAATCTTTTCCTCCCAACTTCTTGAGTAGAAAGAAACACTTCTAACTACTCAACAAAAAAACTTCAAAATTAAAGAAAAAAAAGTGAAGTTTAAAACCAAAAAGAGAAAATATCTAAATGAATACCACAAAAAAAACCATATAAAAACTCTACAAAGAAAGAACAAAAAAAAAGAACTAAAAATGATGAAAGTACTATTATAACCTATGCCAGGTTAAAAAAATATTATACATGTGACTTCGAGATAACATATATCTCACATGATACTAATCAAAGCATCTAAACTAACTATGAACTCTTTCACAAATTAAATCTAATAATAAAAATCACTACACATTCTGCATGTGTTTGTTGTTTTTTTAATTCACCACATCACAACAGCAACTTCTAAAAATAGAAGTAGTAAACAATATCGATTGTTTGGAGAGAGGTAGCCAAATCTTTAGATTTTTTTGAAAATTTTGTAAAAAAACAATGACAGAATAAAATTAACTGCAAGATAACCAAATTCCTTAAAGAAGATAGTGAAAAACTCATTTGTTGTTCAACTAGGGAGCCAGAATATCAAAACAACTTCGTCAACAGACAAAAACCAAATTGTTATCAAAATTTTCAACACAAAGGCATCTCCAACTTGCTAGTTATCTTGTATACGAACACTTTTGACTTGTATGCTGAATGTAAGTGAGGAGTCTCTTGAATAGAGAAGGTTAACTTCAGATGTTTTACTTACAAACCATAGTGTAAAAGGTGTCTGCTTCTTCTACTATCTTCAACAAATTTTTTTTTTTCATTAGCCAGAAGATTTGATACAGGTGATTATTAGAAAGAGTTACAAAAAAATAATATATAAATATTATTTATAATTTTTTATTAATTTATTATTTTTTTAATAAAAAAAAATATAATCATTCTTCTTGAACCAATAGAATATGTCACACATTTTTTATTTGCTTCAAGCTACCCAGCACATGGTGATATTAGATTTGTTATTCTTGGCATTCGAGAGCACTTAGCCCAATATAAGAATGACAAAATTTTTCAAAAGCTCAAATAGCTAAAGCAATGCATCTAAAACTTGAAAGTTACTAGTTATTACTTGATGAATTCTTATAAATCTCAGTATTTCTAGATCCACAGGTTAAAATATCTGCATTTAGAACTGAAGAAGAAAAAAATAAAGTGATTAATTTAGTTTTAGAATTAAATAAATATTTATTTGAAACATTACAGCAAATAATTCTTACTGTAATTCAACCAATGATAGAGATTATTTTTGTAATCTTTATTCTCTTAATACAGTTACACCCCCTAAGTGCACACCTCCTAAGTGCAAGCCTTCTCTAAATACATATTATGACCTGGTCCCAAGCTTGGGACTTAAGACTTTTCTATATTCTGCATGTTGTAAAAGGGTAAATCTGGCTTGGAAGGAATTTTTTTGCACATAGTAGATTCAATGCATATTAGGTTTAGAAACTATGTACATTTTGTACATAGGATGTATATATTTTGTACATATGTACAATTTGCACATATGTACAATTTGTACATATGTACCATTTGTATATAGACACTATGTACATTTTGTATATAGTGATTAATGCGAATATAGCATAGCGAACATAGCCACTATGTATCTATTAGTAGCATAGAATCTATAATTAGAAAACTAGAAATTAATATAAGATAGTAAAGTTTATCTGCTATATATGCAGCAAAGGTCAAAAGCTATTTAAAACCTATCTTTTCGTTTCAATAAAAGATAACTCGGGAAGAGTTTGTAAAAGTCAGTCAGCGAGAGTTGATAGAACTTATTAGAGTTTGACTCATAGTTTTGACTTTAAAGTTTTGCTTAAATTTCCCACTTAATAATCAAATTTGCATAGAGTTAGTAGTCTAAACCCGTGATTCGAAGTAGAGCCTCGTGACATAATCCAGAGCTCTATTTGACCTTAATAACTCAGACCAAGTCTTCCACGCCTCAATTGTGCCTTCCACCATTAGGGTTAATAGAGTTCAGTAGTTTAGAGTATTGTTTAGATTAGTTTTAGTGGTAGTTGATATCTGTGAGATCTATATTTAGAGATTCTGGATCATTTCTTACTTTTACATTTTGGTGGTGACTGTGAGATCGAACTTCTCAAACCACTCAAATTAAAAAACTTGTAATTCTAGACTACCCAACTACAATGGAAACTGAAAAATACCCAGAACAAGTTAAGAGCAAACCAGACCAATTGCATTATGAATCAATCAAGAAATTGGAAAACACGAATCTAGGGGAAAGGTGTACCGAATGGATGAAAAAAGTGGACCAATTTCGGAGGTCTACCAAACCAATTGCATGTATAAATCCAATTATTACTTACTATATGATGGAAACTACATGTAGACCAAGCCAACTATTTCAAGAAGCTTATGTCACCAATATGTTTGAGGATCCAGAAGTAAAAAGGCGCAATGGTATGAACTCTTTGAATAATGAAAATAAAGCATCAGATTACTATCAAAAATCGGCCAATATGAACCATATAAATGAAACATATAATGTTGATTATGAAACTATTAGTAAATGCACCTGAAATAGAATACGAAGTGAAATGGAAAGAGATACTTATCTAAAAGAAGAAACCAACCACAAATGTAGCCAAGGCTTAAATCACCTCAAAGGCAAAGAAATTTCCAAAAAGAAGCCTTTAAAAAAGAACCATGGTGCTCCTATTGTAATCTAAAAGGACACACTATGTCTATATGTCCTGCCGTGAGAAAATTGGATAAAAAGTGCACGATGATCCTTCGAACACTTACATTAGAACAAATAGAAGTAGTTCAAAAAATGATAAACAAACATTTTAATGACAGTCTTGATGCTAAGCAAGTTTCTAAAGCCCTAAAGCTTACGTTAGAACTAGTAGAAGATATAATTAAAGATGAAAGCGAAGCTGCAGAAATTGTATACCTACTATCATATAAAAGTCCATAGCGAAAGATGGCTGACTCTGAAGTTCAACCAGCAAAGCTTCAATACAAGAAAAGTCTCTCCAATACTAACAACCTGGAGGTTTACAATTCAGCTGCCTATAAGATCACATTTGATTATAGCCTGTTGGGTCCTGTTCAAACCCAAAAGAATGGGCCAAGGAGAAAAATAACACGTAAACGAAATGTAAAACCTGCCAAGATGAGTAATACTGGTAAAATATTTGCCGGTGGTTGTCATCATAATGATGGAATTAGAGTTGAAACAGCGAACTCAAGGCATCTACTATGTATCAAAAGTCATCAAAGATAGGTGGTGCTAACCGAACTTTCAAAGTCAGCCTTGAAGATTTTGAACCTATCAATTATCGAAGTGGAGTTAAAAATGAAACGAATGAATATAAGACATCCATTCATTATCAGAAGTCTGCTAATATGGATGATGATAATAAATTAAGCGCTGTAGAAACACCCATTTATTATTAAAAAACTGTCAAAGCAGATCGAATCGATGAACTTTACACCCTTGGTGCCAGTTACGAAGAGGGAATTGAAGCTAAGAAAAATAATTAAAGGACACTCATGAATAATCCAAAGTCGCAGGAAAAACGTGGCCTGGAAAGAACATTTCAAGTTAATCCTGGCTATCAAAATAATACGGATATTAAAACAAAAAAAGAAACCTTCGAATTAGATGAAGAACCCAGCTACGAAAAGATAGCTCCGGCCCTGAATGGTGGTTATATTGATGAATCTGAAATTGCCAACGAAGCTGACAACAATGAAAATGACAAGACTTGGTATCTTTGTAATGATATAATTCCCAAAGAATGGCTAGGTTCGAACAACTATAAAGAACTCATAAAAGTCAAATTGGAAGCAATGGAGTGCTTAAAAAAAGAAATTGAATCTAATAATAATCAAAAAGCTGGTGCGCGAAGCCTACCTGAAAAAGTCGATATAATCGGTATACTCAAAGTTGAGCAGAAAGATAGATCAAGAAATTCTAATCTAAGGCCTAGTAGAATTTCAAGCGAATGGGCAGAAGCAATATTTTTCATTTTTATATTAATAACTTTTGGTGTAATAAAGCTAATTGGTATATACATTGGAGAACTAGGAATAGGTCATTGGAATATAGCACATAATTTTAGACACTATTATACAATGCAAATTAAAGATGAAAATGCGGCATTGATGTATTATCAAAAATTTACTGAAGATAGGGAAAAGGTATTCATTCATTATCGAAAATCAACAGAATTGAGAAATTTTAATGAGACATATCAAGCTGGATATTACTATCGGTATAGAGTTGGGATTGAAAAGAATGAAAACATAGTATTTATATATTATAAAAAATCAGCAAACATAAATAATTCGAATAGAACATATCAAGTTGATTATTGTTATAGCTTAGGAATTGGCATCGAAATCGATACACATAAAGCTTTTACATATTATCCTAAGCCTACTAAGGCCATGGGAATTTGGAAAACTACTGTTTGTTACCTTTATGGAATTGGAATTGAAAAGGACAAAAATATAGCATTCATGTATTATCAAAAATCAGCTGACATAAATAATTCGAACTGGATATATCAAGTTGGTTATGCTTATAAATTAGGAATTGACATTAAAATCAATAAGCATAAGGCGTTTAAACCTCATTTGAAGTCTCTTGGGGCTGGAATTTGGAGAACTACCATTTGTTACCTTTACGGAATTGGCATAGAGAAGAATAAAGATAATACGCAATCAATGTGGTGTATATTATGTGACCCTGACATAACAACAAGGTGGACAAGTGGAAATAAAGATATTGATAATTCTATGAAAACATTCCAACTTAGAACCTGGAGTTATGAAGAAGCAATTGAATAGATTACATTTAATAGATTATCTAAAATTGAAAAAGGAGGATTTGCAACTGTATATTATGCAAATAGGTTCGATGAAAGTAATAGTTTGTGCAATAATGCGCTTAAAGTAATTTGTGATTCAAGCAAAAATGATCAAGAATTTATCCAAGAAGTGGTTAAAATTTTTGAAACATGTTTAATCGAAGATGGGTATTACATTTTACCCTAAAGACATAGACAACACTAAAAGAAAATATGATCTAGAGCCTTGTAAAGGCAGAAACAACATGGGAGAAAATATATTTTTTATACCAGTTAAACAAGCCTGTTGAAAACTAATAAACCGCCAAATCACATCAATCCTGAACTTAAGAAAATATTTGACGATGAAAGACTTAAATTATCATAAATCGATTATAATGAGTTCAGAGGTCTCGATAATTCAAGCTGATGTTCTCACAATGATACTACCGTCAAGAATTTATTAGAATAACACTTGCTGAAGTCGAAAGAAGCTACCGAATCAAAGTTAAAGAGAAGTAAACTACGAACTGCAATGTTGATCGAAAGAAATAGAAAAATTAACTAAGATAATGGACATGATGAAATTAAAATATGGTAGGTCATAACAGTTATTGTATGGGTGTGGGGCACATAACAGCAAGCAAATAATGAAAATCAAGAGAAAAGAAGAATAATCGCAAAAAGCGATTTATGAAGATTTGAAAAAATGGACAGAAAGAAGGAAGGAAACGTCTGCATTACCTGCTGGATGAGACTTTAGAGAAGCCCAGAGGAATGTCAAAGTGTATCCGTGACAAATCCAACACAGCATTGGGTATTGTTATCAAAATAGAATTGGTATTGAAAAAGATGAACATGAAGCATCGCCCAAGATAAGAAGGCCTATCTGAAGTTAAGAAATCCGACGGTAAATCAAATCCAGTCTAGGTAGTCGGTGGCCTAGCATAATTGAAAAAGAGCTTGTAGTTAGATTTTTTTTTTATATTAGTTTTATCATTATTTTCTTGTTTTTGTTTTCTTTTTCTTAAATTTTGTTAATTATCTTAGTTAGTTTTCTCGTAGAACTCGAAATTAAGGTTGGGAATGTGTAAAAGAGTAAATCTGGCTTGGAAGGAATTTTTTCGCACATAGTAGATCCAATGCATATTAGATTTAGAAACTATGTACATTTTTGTATATAGGATGTGTACATTTTGTATATATATACAATTTGCACATATATACAATTTGTACATATGTACCATTTGTACATAGACGCCATGTACATTTTGTACATAGTGATTAATGCGAATATAGCATAGCAAACATAGCCACTATGTATCTATTAGTAGCATAGAATCTATAATTAGAAAACTAGAAATTAATGTAAGATAGTAAAGTTATCCACTATGTACGCAGCAAAGGTCAAAAGCTATTTAAGACCTATCTTTTCGTTTCAATAAAAGATAACTCGGGAAGAGTTTGTAAAAGTCAGTCAGCGAGAGTTGATAGAACTCATTAGAGTTTGACTCATAGTTCTGACTTTAAAGTTTCGCTTAAATTTTTCCCCGATAATTAAATTTGCATAGAGTTAGTAGTCTAAACCCGTGATTCGAAGTAGAGCCTCGTAACATAATCCAGAGCTCTATTTGACCCTAATAACTCAGACCAAGTTTTCCATGCCTCGATTGTGCCTTCCACCATTAGAGTTGATAGAGTTCAGTAGTTTAGAGTATTGTTTAGATTAGTTTTAGTGGTAGTTGATATCCGTGAGACCCATATTTAGAGATTCCGGATCATTTCTCACTTTTACAATATGCATAAAATTTTAGAGTCCCAAGTATATATATATATTTCTATAAATATATATATATAACTTTAACAGTGAGTAACTTTTGATCCACTAGTCCGTTTTGGATAAGACATCTACCAAAATGTTCGTCTTGGTAAGACGATTCCAATGAGATCAAAATTACTAAAATCCAATTACAGGACCCCGAGATTATTAAGGTTTTGTGTTACTTCATATATATTTTAAAATTGATTTATTTACATACAAAGTAACACAAAACTTTAACAATCTTGGAATCCTGTAATTGGATTTTAGTGAATTTGAGCTTGTTGAAATCGTCTCATCGAGGTAAACATTTTGGTGGGTGTTTTTATCCAAAACGGACCAGTAGATCAAAAGTTATTCACTCCTAAAGATTATGAAATATGTATATTTATATTCTCTAAATACAAACTTATATCTAATTTTCTAATACATTCATTTAGAGAAGTTTTCTATAAATGCATACCTCCTCTAAATGCAAATTTATGCCTGGTCACCAGAGCATGCACTTAGGGAGGTGTGACTGTACATCCTATTCTTCTATATACAGTTTGTCAAAGACAAACTATATATATGATGAAATTAAAAATATCTTGCAGTACCTTTACTTGGCTATGTTGATCTCTTATGTTGGTGGCAAATACAACATTCTGAGTACCCAATTTTAAGCATGATTACTTGTCAGTACAAGCAACAAGTGTAGAAATTGGAACCGTCTAAAATTTTCTTAACCATTTAATCATTTAACTATATTAACCATTTAATTTAGCTAGCATTAAAATTGACCTGGCCTATAATAAATATTATTTGGCCCGGAACTATAAAAAATTTTTTATGTGGTTAAACAGTTCCAATCCCTAAACAAGTGTTGCTTCGGAGCAAGCATTTTCAATTGCTGGGAAACCAATTTCAGACAAAAGATACAAGTTGGAAGAAGAGATAGCAAAAGCAATTCTTTGCCTAAAAAGTTAGATCTGCAAAGAAATATGCTAATATGTAGTTAATATTATAGTCTTGTTAAAAACAAATTTGTCAATTTGCTTTAGGTATATTAGAAATTCAGCATACAAATATTAATATTTCAAATCAAAAAAAAAATAATTGAAAAAATTTTTTTATTAAGGTATTGTGTTAAATTACTATTAATCAGAAAGGAACTATGCCTAAAAATAAAAACACATTACACTATATTTTAAAATACTTTTTTATGAGGCTTGTATAGCCTATTTTCCCTTATAAAATATAAAAAGTCTACTAAGCAAACTTGTATTTTAATATTAGCTGAATTCATCTATCTTTATATTCAATTTATCTAGCAAATAATATATATTACTAGAAAAATAGTAATGTTTTATAGGCTGAAGCCTCAATTCTTAAGTCTTACAATTTATATATAATTAAATTTAAAATAATACATATTTAAATTTTATGAATTCCTATTATTTTTAATATTACATTTTTTTAATAATCTTTGTTGCAATCATGCACTTTGTCCTAATTTTTGTAATCTGTTAAAAGAGAATGCACTATTGAAAAAAAGATCATTAAGAGTACAAACTCTAAATATATCTACAAATGCAAGACCTGTTTCAAATTCTTTATTTCCAATATTTATAACAGCTTGTGGCAATGTCAAGCCTTGTAATTTATGAATTGTAATCGCCCAGGCAAGATATAATAGAAACTGTATACAAGAGCAAATACTATATTTTTCCTCCCAAGTGTATTTGATAGGTTAATCAATACTCTGTTTATTGTAAATTCTTATTCTGTAGCTATGCAATACCAAAGATAAGTTCATCATACTATGTGTAAGAGTATGTAAATTGATTTATTACTTAGAACGAAAACTGACTAATTTTTTTTTTAACTTTACTCCTGAATTACATTATTTATATCATTTTCTATAAACTTATATATATTTCCTTTATTGTTACTATTGCTATATAATTTTTTAATTAATTACTCAATTAATCATTATTTTATTTATCATTACTTATTACACCATATCAATATATACCGATTCTGATCAATCACTCACATATCCCAGACATTATTACAATTTCTACTCTTTCACTTTAATAGGTTAATGTTTAATTTCTTCAATGAATTTTTTCATCTTGTACCAAATAATTAATTTTATCTAACATGCTTGAGATCAAAAATACATATTTATTTAATTTATGCATTTGTATAAAACTTCTTTTTTATCCCATGTATTTTAAACGTCTACTGCAAAATTTAATTTTTATTTAATATTTTTATTCAATATGTTTGCTAAAAAAATTTTGTTAGTTTTGTTATAATGATTTTAAAGTCAGCAGCTACATTTTTAAATTAACATTTTAGTATTCTAAATTGAACCTAATTTAGGTTTAATTTTCAGATATTGAATCTAAATCAGGATAATTTGAAGCATAAGCTAGACATTTCTGAAAATTTGTAGAATATGGCTTGAAGGCTTCCATCTTGGTTCCTTCAGCTCCAGCTAAAAATAAGAACAAAACTACTAGAACAATAAAATTTAGTTTTTTAAACAAACCAAAAGAGAAAAAGTTAAAATTAATGATTTAGTAAGGTAAACTAGGTAAAAAATATTGATTTATAACAGTGTTTATTATTTACTTTGTATAAAATTTTTTAAAAAAGTTTAACAGTTAACTAACTATATTTATAATTTTTTATTCAAAATATGATAAAAATTTACTATATAGTTGTTATATATGTTATATATTATACTAAATTAAATGGACTAAGGTTATATTATAAAAGATCATATGAGATGAAATACTTGGATTTATATTTGATAAAGTCAAATATAGAATTAATTATTGTATTAAGTTCTAATAGGTCATAATAGTTATATAAAAATTATTTATAATAGTTGAATTAACAAATAAATAAATTAATAAATATATGTTTGCCCACTCTAGACAAGTTTAAAGCACTTATTTTAAACTCTAAAATATAAATTTTAAATTAATTTGTTCTAATTTGTTTCACTTTAATTGCCATTATCATTATTTTTTCAACTTT